TATATATATTATATACATATATATATATATGTATATATATATATATATATATATAAATATATATATATATATATATATATATATATATACATATACATATATAGCAGTTTGTAATTTGAACTTTCTAATTTGGGTTAGATCAGAGACCAAAACGCATTTTTTTTTTAAAATAATTCAATCACAATCCAGTTCAACTTCCCCCCCCCCGCCCCCCTCCCTCCGCTTATAAGAAACACACACGAGCGATCGGAATAATAACACCTGCGAATGAATCAGCCGAGTAAGGCCGAGCTAAGGGCCCCCTGAATCCACCTAATTTACCTGTCCGACTCGGGGGGGGGGGGGGGCGCTTCGTCCAATTAAAGTTTTTACATTTCGACTCGGATTCCATCCACTTTCGTCAACGGCGGGCGGGCGGATCCCACCATCAATTCCGTTTAAGTCGAGATTAGTTTTTTTTTTTTTATTTTTTTTATTTTTTTTTTAGATTTGTTTATATATATTTTTTGCTTTCTTTATTTTTTTCGTGGTTCCTTTTTTTGGGAAAATGGGGAAGACTGAAGTGATGGAGAGAGGGAGGGGGATGTAATGTATGTATATATATATATATATATATATATATATATATATATATATATATAACATATATATACATATATATATATATATATATATATATATATATATATATATATACATATATATATATATATATACATATATATATATATATATATATATATATATATATATATATATATATATATATATATATATATATATATATATATAACATACATGCAGAGAGAGAAAAGAGAGAGAGAGAGAGAGAGAGAGAGGAGAGAGAGAGAGAGAGAGAGAGAGAGAGAGAGAGAGAGAGAGAGAGAGAGAGAGAGAGAGAGAGAGAGAGAGAGAGAGAAGGAGAGAGAGAAGAGAGAGAGAGAGAAGAGAGAGAGAAGAGAGAAGGAGAGAGAGAGAGGGAAAGAGAGAGGAAGAGAGAGAGAGAGAGAGAGAAGAGAGAGAGGAGAGAGAGAGAGAGAGAGAGAGAGAGAGGAAGAGAGAGAGAGAGAGAGAGAGAGAGAGAGAGAGAGAGAGAGAGAGAGAGAGAGAGAGAGAGAGAGAGAGAGAGAGAGAGAGAGAAAGAGAAAGAGAAAGAGAAAGAGAGAAAGAGAAAGAGAGAGAGAAAGAGAGAGAAAGAGAAGAGAGAAAAGGAGAAAGAAAGAGAAAGAGAAAGAGAAGAGAAAGAGAAAGAGGAGAGAAAGAGAAAGAGAAAGAGAAAGAGGAAAGAGAAGAGAAAAGAGAAAGAGACCATACAGACAGATAAACATACAAATATACAAAAAAAAGAGAGAAAATGAGAAAAAAGAAAGAGAAATACAAGAGAGCGCCAGTGAAAGAAAGAAAGAGAGAAAAAAGAGAAGAAGACACATATATAAATTGAGACATTCAAGTGCAATTTAGAGCCATAATATGAACGACAAACTCTTTACAGCGCGTTGTACATTTGCACAGACAGGGAAGGCTTCACGCTTGGGTGATGATAATATGGACGCATGAACAATTTCATATCCAAATTAGCATATTGTACCATGCAGAAGTTCACGCAGCGGGTTATCATGCAGAGCAAAGGCTTTTCACGTGATTTCTTTAGAAAAAAGAAAAGAAAGAAAAGAAAAGAAATGAAATAAAAATAAAAAAAGCTGTGACGTTTACATTATGATGATTAAAGAATGATTTCCTGGCGTCTTTTTTTCTCTGTTCGAAAATGTCTAGAGTAATGCAGAGAGGAGAAGAATAAGAAAAAAAAAATAAGGATAGTTTTAGTTCATCCTTAGTCAGATATCATCAACAACAACAAAGTTTGAGAAAAAAAATCGTATATTTTTTATTAGAAAGTTATCCCGAAATTAATAAGGAAAGACATCAAAGATTAACAAGTAAACAAGTTTCCATTTGCTCTTTTGCGTCAAGATGGACGTTCCCTTCTGCTATGTAAAAAAAAAAAAAAAAAAAAAAAAAAAAAAAAAAAAAAAAAAAAACATATAGATAACCAAAATTAGTTGCAAAGAAAACGGATTATAAACAACGAAAGAAAACGATAACTTTCGCCCTCGTGTGCGAGCCGTAAATATATCGCACGAGTTTAATTACTTTACAAAATTACGGTTATTATTTATGATGTTCTGGTTCCTTGTTATATAAATACATTTATTTTGACATCTAGGAATGCTAATAATGGAAGTGGAACAAGGAGGGGGAGAGATAACATATGGAATATGAACCCCCAACAACGAAAAGCATTTTACATTCTAATATTACTATTAACACATAAATATGAATGTGTAAGTGCACACACACACACACAACCACACACACACACACACACACACACACACACACACACACACACACACACACACACACACACACACACACACACACACACACACACAGATATATAAACATATACATATGAAAAATGAAATTGAATAGAGGAGAATAAAATGGGTGATGAGATGATACACCTGATAAAAGAGAGAAAAACAAAAAAGAAAAAAAAAAAAATATAGAGTAAAATAAAGAGTAAATAAAGAGAAAAAGAGAGACTAAAGAGAGAGAACAACAAACCAGAAATAGAGCAAAAAGAAAGAAAAAAGAGAGCAAAAGAGAAAGAGCAATAGAAAAAAAATAAAAGTAAAATAAGAAAGAGGAGAAAGAGAAAATAAAAAAAAGAGAGATAGAGTAAAAGCGAAAGAAAAAGAGGGACATCTGAGCCACTGTTAACGAAGGGATTACCAGCAACGGTCCCGCACAGACAATCAATGTGTTCTGCATTTGCAACACAAAGGACACCGCCCGCTTTTCAAGTCTCTTCCTCCTGATCTTCTTCTTCTCCTTCTCCCTCTCTCTCTCTTTGTCCCTCTTTGTCTCTCCCTTTTCTTTGTCGACGGGAGCTGGTGTGTCTGTTTCGTCTCGGCGCGGGCGGGGGAGTGGGGGGGGAGGTGGGCAGGGGAGGTAGGGTGGGGGGGCTTTAGGTTGCTGCTGTTCTCCGCCGGGTGGGCGTCCGGGTGGGAGGCTTCGTTTGTGGTTTGGGGAGGCTTCGTGTCGGGGGTTGGTTGGTTTCTGACGGCCAGTTAGTCTGTCTGTCTGTCTCTTTTTCTCTTCTCTCTCTCTCTCTCTCTCTCTCTCTCTCTCTCTCTCTCTCTCTCTCTCTCTCTCTCTCTCTCTCTCTCTCTCTCTCTCTCTCTCTCTCTCTCTCTCTCTATATATATTATATATATAATATATATATAATATATATATATATATAAATCCCTCTCTCTCCCCTCTCTGCCTTCTTGTCATATTCTTTATCTCCCCCTACTCCCCCTCCCTCTCTCTCTCTCTCTCCATCACCATCACCATCATCCTCATCCTCATCATAATCCCCTCCTCTTCACCATCATCATCATCATCACTACTATTGTCCTCCTGCTCCTCCTCCTCCTCAACACCATCGCCGTCTTCTTCTTTCCCCCTCTTCCTCATCATCATTATCATCATCATCATCATCAACACTATTGTCTCCCTCCTCCTCCTCATCATCATCATCACCTCCGTCTTCTTCTTCTCTTCTTCCTCCTCCTCACCATCATCACCAACATCACCACTTTATCCTCCTCCTCCTCACCATCATCATCACTATTATCCTCCTCATCACCATCACCTCCATCTTCTTCTTCTCTTCTTTCCTCCTCCCCATCATCATCACCATAACCTCCATCTTCTTCTTCTTCTCTTCCTCCTTCTCTGCCTTTTTAATTCTCTTACAGCAGTTATTATATCAGTGTTGTTTACCAGTTTCCGCCCAAGAATTATATTGCAAGTTGACAAGGGGAGGGGAGGAGGGGGAGAGGAGAGGGAGGGGAGAGGGAAGGGAGAGGGGGAGGGGGGGACAGCGCACGAGTTATATTGCAAGTTGCAATCTCGTAAACTCCTGAGTACGAGCAACCGTCTTCTCTCTTCTCTTTTTTTATATTATTTTCTTCTTCTTTTTTCATTATTTTCCCAGTGACAAAATATCTTGTTAGTGCCACTTTCTCGCTACTCTGATGTTTTGCTTCATGGCGCGGGGGTAGGGGAGGTATGGGGGGATGGGGGGCAGGGGCACGAGAAGATGGGCGTCGCTTCGAGGAAAATAAAAAAAAAATCGGGGGGGGGGTATGTACGTGTGTGTAGTGTGTGTGCGTCTCTCTCTCTCTCTCCTCTTTCTCTCCTCTCTTCGCTCTCATTCTCTCTCCTCTTCTCTCCTCTTCTCTCCTCTCTCTCTCTCTCTCTCTCTCTCTCTCTCTCTCTCTCTCTCTCTCTCTCCCTCTGTCTTCTTCTCTCTCCTCTCTCTCTCTATTCTCTTCTCTCGTCTCTCTCTCTCTCTCTATCTCTCTCTCTCTCAGTCTCTCCTCTCTCTCTCTCTCTCTCTCTCTCTCTCTCTCTCCTCTCTCTCTCTCTCTCTCTCTCTCTCTCTTCTTCTCTCTCTCCTCTTCTCTCTCTCTCTCTCTTCTCTCTCTCTTCATTCTCCCTCTCTCTCTCTCTCTCTCTCCCTCTGTCTCTCTCTCAATTTCTTTCTTTCTGTGTGTGTAGTAGTAGTAGTACTACTAAAAGTAATTACAGCAATGACAATTATAATAATGATAATAAGAACAATAATGCTATTAATAATAAAATGGATAGTGATATAATAACAATAACAATGATAATAACAAAACATACCATTTAAACAATAATGATAAAAAATATTAACAACAATGATATTGATAAGATATAATAGAACCAACAAACAACGACACAACAACAACAGCAAACAACAACAACTACAACAACAGCCACAAAAAAACGACACAAACAACGACAACAAACAACAACACCAACACACCAACAACAATAATAATTATAATAATAACAATAATAACAACAACAAACAACAACAACAACCAACAAAAACAACAACAACAACCAACACTCACTCTCTTCGTTGAGCCGGATCTGCTTCCTGGCGACGCCGTACTCGTTCACAACCGAGCAGTTGTAGGATCCGAAATCCTGCGAGTCCGCGTCGTGGATCACCAGGATGTTGCGGAATCCTTCATCCTGCTGTCCCTCCACCACCTCGTCCCCTGGGTCCTTGTGTGGAGAGAGAGGAGAGGTCGTGGGGGGAGAGAGAGAGATGGAGGGGGTAAAGGGGGAGTTAGTTTGTTGTTGGGGGAGGAGGGGGGGTGAGGTGGGGGAGATGAGGTGAGAGGAGGGAAGGGTTAGGTTGTTTGGGAGAGAGGAGAGGGGGGGGGGAGAGGGGGTGTGGAGATTAGTTTTGTTGTTGAGAGGAGAGAAGGAAGGAGGAGGAGGTAGGGGGGGGGGAGAGAGAGAAGAAGGGGGAAGAAAGGGGAGTTAGTTTTTGGATGAGGGAGGGAGGGAAGGTGGGAGGTGGGGGAGGTGTGAGGTTGAGGATGAGTGGGGGAAGGAGAAGGTGGGAGGAAGAGAGAGAAAGAGGAGGGGGAGGGAGAAGTTTTGTTGTTGAGGGAGAAGAGGGAAAGGAGGGAAGGGGGAGGAGAGAGAGGGTGAGGAGAGCGGTGAGACAGAGAGAAGAGAAGAGAGAGAGATAGAAAGAGAGAGAGAGAGAGACAGAGAAAAGGGAAGGTGTTATTGTTGAGGAGAGGAAAGGAGGGAGGCGGTGGGAGGGAGGAAAGGGTAGGAGAGATGGGGAAGGGGAGGGAGAGATGGGATGGGAAAAAGAGGGGAGAAGAGGGTTAGTTTTGTTGTTAGGGAACGAATGAGGTGGGGAGGGGGGAGAGGGGAGAAAGATGGATGGAAGGGTGAGGAGAGTGAGGAGAGGGGAAGAGGGGTAGGGTTTTCTGTTGGGGAGAGTTGGGGAGGGGAGGAAAGATGGGGAGGATAGAGAGGAGAGGAGGGGAGGAGGATGGGAAGGAATAGAGGAGGGTGGGAGGAGAGGAGGGAGGGGAAATAGATGGGGAGGGGAGAGAGGAGGGATTTGGGAGGAGAGGGGGTATGGGAGGAGGAGAGAGGGAGGAGTTAAGAGGTATGAAGGAGAGAGGGAGAGAGGAGGGGAAAGGGAGTTAAAGGAGGACGGAGAAGGAATAGGAGGGAGGTTACTCGTGGAAAGAGAGGGAGAGAGAAAATAGAGAAAGAAAAAGAGAAAGAGAAAAAAGAAAAAGAGAGAGACAGAAGAAAAGCACCTAGAGACAAGACTGAAAACAAATGAAAAAAAAAAGAAAAAAACACAAACAGAAAAAAAAAACAGAAAAAAAGTAAAACACAGACAACCTTCCCCTCCACATACGCTAAAAAAAAAAAAAAAAAAAAAACTCCCCCCTTAACCACCCCTTCCCCTCACCCCCTATCTCCCAAACCAACTCTCAGAAATCCCCCCCTCCCCCCCCCCTCCCCCAAAAAAAAAACCAACTCAAAGAAATCTCCCTTTCCACCCTGCCTTTTCCTCCTCCCCCCCCCACCCCCCTACCTTCCCCCCCCAACCCCACCCATCTCTTAGAAATCTCTCTTTCCACCCTCCCTTCCCCCTCCCCCCCTCCCCAACCCTCTCCACCTTTCACCCCTCCCCCTCTTCCCTCTTCCAACCCTCACCCTTCCTCCTCCCTCCCCAACTTTCCCCCCTCCTTCCTTCCCCCCTCCTCCCCTCCCCCCTTCCTTCTCCAACCCTTCCCCCCTCCCTCCTCCCTCTTCCAACCCCCTCCCTCTCCCCCCCCCCTTCCTTCTCCAACCCCTTCCCCCTCCCCCCTCCCCTCCCTCTCCCACTCCCCCCTTCTTCTCCAACTTCCCCCTCCCCCTCCTCTAACCCCACCCCCTCCCTCCCTCCCCCTACCCCTCCCTTCCCCCCCCCCCACCCCCCACCATCAAGGAGTGCAGGCGCGTCGTGCTCCGAAGACCGGCTTCAGGTAATCCGTTTAAGGCAAGTCTCATTGGCACGTTTACTGTTCCAGCTGTGAGATGGTAACCGTGGCTGCCTCTCTGTCTCTCTCTTTCGTCAGGTCTTCTTCTGCCCTCTTTCTCTTTCTTTTGTCTCTCTGCCTCTCTGTCTCTCTCTTTCGTCAGGTCTTCTTCTGCCCTCTTTCGCTTTCTTTCGTCTCTGCCTCTCTGTCTCTCTCTTTCGTCAGGTCTTCTTCTGCCCTCTTTCGCTTTCTTTCGTCTCTGCCTCTCTGTCTCTCTCTCTTCGTCAGTCTTCTTCTGCCCTCTTTCGCTTTATTTCGTCTCTCTGCCTCTCTGTCTCTCTCTTTCGTCAGGTCTTCTTCTGCCCTCTTTCGCTTTCTTTTGTTTCGTGTGTCTTTTTTGTCTTGTTTTCTTCTTTTTTTTCGTTTTCTCTTTTTTCTCGTTCTCTTTTCTTTCTTTTATCATCTCCTTCTCTTTCTTCCCTGTCTTTCATCATCTTCCTCTTCTTCTTCTTTTCTTTGGTTCGTCACTTTTTTCCTCCATTTTCTTCTCTTTCTGTATCATCTC